TGTTTAGACTCAATAAAATGATGATATTTTCTGTTTGTAGCATATCAGTACGGGTTTTGGAAAAAGATAAGTTTTAGATTTAGAATATAAGTAAAATGCTTGTCTTTGGAGTGTATGGACTTTGTTCTCACTACCAATTTTTTTTGTTTATTTGCGGATTAACCTGGAAGGATCCATAAATAATGTATCTGGTTGATCAGTAATCAGACAGGATTCGAAGATTACGACAAATGTACTTAGAAATTCATTTGGGAAGCAGATTAGACTGTAGAGACTTTCATGAACTTAATTAAATTCAAAGTAAATGCTATAGATTAGTGTTTAGATTCCTCATTTTCTACAGAATTTTCATATTCAGGAACTTCATTTAAAATTTGTACTACTAGTAAAAGGCCTCTCTTATTCTGGCACTTATGTCATACTGACAATGAATATTTAGTTAGCATTTAATATGTAAGAAACTCTGCTAAGGACTTTGTATGCATTTTGCTATTAAGAAAGAACAATTTTTTTGAGAAAAACTATTTGTATTATCTCTCAAAATGCATTTTTGATGATATGTCTCTAATATTTTTTAATTCATGTATCTACATCCTTTTAGCTTTTTAGTTTTTCTCTCCATCAGTGAGTAGGATCTAGTCTATATTCTTAATTTTTAAAGATGAGCCCTTTTCCTTCTACTTGATTTTGTCAATACAATGAAACAGAAGTGATATTGTAACTTCTTGGATACCAGAGTTTACCAAACCATTTCTAATTTTTCATTAATTTCATGTGCATAAGCCTGGTCATACCTTTAGGAGAATGAAATATCATAAGTGAGACAGCCAGTTAAGAATCCATAGCTAGCTGATGCCATCCCTATAGCCTCCTATCGAAGATACAGTATACCAGAGAACCATGACCATTTCCAAGTGAGATGAGAACTATAAACCAGAGTCTAATCCAAACTACTGGACTTAAGAATTATTAATTTTTTCACTTAGCTTAATAATTTTAACAGTTGTGCATTTAAAGCATTACATTTTGGACTCGTCTGATACAGAGAAATGAATTAGTGATACAACTCCTTTCTTACTCTTAAGATAATGAATTGAGAAAAATTCATTAAATTATCTAAAATCATACAGATGGGAAACATGATCTCAGACTTTCTTCCATATCTTTTTAATAACAAAGACTGTGCTTGAAATTATCATTTTGTCCTGCTCACCATTTCATGGAACTGGGGTTTACAAAAGATGTCATAAATTTTAATGGATATCACAAGGTAACTGCATTCAATTACTCTGGTCTGACGCATTTGTTCAAAAGAAGAACATGTGAATATGTGTATATTTGTATATTTGTAAAGCATTTGACTGAATAATATTATATAAACCTACAAAGTGGTCTCAATAATTGTAAATACAGAAAACCAAAAGGAAAATCATTCCACTTGTACACACATGCAGATTTTTCTGTTGGCAGTGCAGCACTCAGAAATTCGATTTATTTAAAAACATTTTCTAAAAATCCTTTAGAAGTCTGAATTCTGGACAGCTGCTCTTCTAGTGATGATGGTGCTTAGTTAAAATGACATCCTAAACACCAATTCAAAAGACTCAGACAGAAATAGTATTGCAATATAGAAACAGGAATGAGTAAATGTTAGGGAAAATTACACTTTACATTTTGAGAGGAAAATGTTCATTATTCAGGAGCCAGTTTTTCATTCCAGATGATGCTTCCTGAATATTTCCTCTAAAGAGCATTCACAGGTTTTGTAAAAGATATCATTGGCCTTGCTTGGGTAAGGATGACAGAAAAACTCAAAGGAGTGTAAGAAATATAAATATTCATAAGCTTGAATTAGAACTAGCATGAAAAATCTGTGAATCTGAGAATTGGAAACTTGTAGATATCAGCTCAATAAAGTTAACAGAGGAGAACAGATGTGATATAAAAGCAGATAGATATTACAGGTCATAGGGCAGGTGCATATACAATGAGTAATTCCCTGTATGATACATATTCAATAAGAAAGACAAAGGTAAGAACAAGGTATATTAAGGAGGTACATGAATTGCCTGCATATAAACAAAGTCTTCTTGAAAGATATTAAAATATGTCAAGTTATGCTACAGTTTCCCAAAACAAGAATCTGAAAAAATTTCTTGCTGAACAAACTACCCCAAAATGGGAATGGTCATCCATTAACAAAAGAATCTACATTTTGAGGTAGATGAAAGAATACACTGGTGAATATAAAATATAGTCAGTACTTAAAACAGGAAGATTTTCTGAGGATCATCAGCTTACTCCAGGATTCAATAAAAAGTTAAGAAAAAGAAAGAGGTTGGAGGTGGCTTTAGATTTCTGTTGATATTATGGAGTAGACCCATTTTGGCAGATTCTCTATTATGAGGTAGAGATGCCATTTGAAATTCCTGCTGATGTTCATGGGCTCAGTAGACCTTACCTGGGTTGACCCAGGTGCGTGACAGTCCAAGCAAAGAGGCAGAGGTCAAAAGTTAATGTTCAAGCATAAATAATAATATACTTATCTTTGTTGTACATTAAAGACATAATTATAAATTGGCAAGTGAGTAAATATTGTTCTACACTTTAATTTTCAATTAATTTCACAGGTCATGGAATAGGCTAAAGATGTCCAAACTGAAAGTAATGACTTAAGGAAATTTGAATTAATTTAAGAATTATGAAAATTGGATCTTCATTAGTGGAAGAGAACATTCAGTGAAATTGTGATAATTCATTTCAAATACAATATTTAGAGCAATGATTTTTGGAAGAGAAAACCTATTCTTTGTTATAGTAGAAAACAAGCTTTGAATCAATGAGTCTTCAGGGCGATTACGGTTTAGTACAAGAAAGACTAATGATAACTAAGATTGAGATGGAATTTGTTGCCTCTAGAAGTATTCTTTATATACAATTACAATTATAGGCTGACTACTTTGATAGGATGTGTTAAAAAATCAAAGTATTGTTTGAAGCGATACTTAAGCAATCTGAGCTCTATAATATCTTCTAGTTCAGATTGTTTTGTAATCTTGTTTATTATTATTTTTCCTATAACAAGTTCCCTCATTGATCCAATGACTTCGAAGTTATTCCTGAAGTGACACTAATGGATATATAAAAAAGTTATAGTCTAGCAACTTATTTTCTCTACTTTATAGGAAATTTCAACCACTAGCCTTATTGTCAAATAAATTAGATGGATGTTTTTAAATGTGAGTTAGGAATGGAGGAAGACAAAGAAATGAGGATAATATGTAAGTCACTTTTTCTGCCTGGGAAAATAGCTGTCACACACAGGTAAAAATACAAAAGCCTTATTCAAATTTGAGATGCTTGTCCGTACAGATGGTTAACTCAAAAGCAGCTTAATGTAGTGAGAGTGTGATGAATGAGTGCTACTGACTTCATGGTAGCTTGGAAGCAGAGAGACAGATAAAGATCCAGATATTAACATAACCCAAAACAGTGATCAGTTAGAGGCTTCAAGATCATGCCTCTATGACAAACTCAAACCTTCCAATAGTATGCTAAACTAATCTGTGAGACAGTTTCTGAAGGTAATATATTTGACAATCAAGATTAGCCACCATACATACCAAGATGTAATTTTCATATATACATATATTGAACTCAGGCCCCTGCACTTGCCAGGGAGGTGCTTATGTGCATATTTTACTGAGCCAATTCCCCTGCCCCTAAATTTGATTGTGATTAAATCATTGAAAGACTTTTTTACTTAAGAACTCGTTTTAATAGGAGAAATGGTAAAACAGAAGAAAAACGAATGGAACAAAAAGATACTGTAAATAATAGAGTCACACTATACTGATCCATTTGTCATTAGATCATGATTTGCAACTTTCATATATTTAGCAATCCTTTAGAAGACTGAATCTTCTCATTAAAAGAAGTACTGGTTTCTAAGAATTTAGTTTGATACTTGAATCTTCTCTTGTTTTACATTCTATTTACTATTAATATACCATATGCATCACTGGCAAATAAGCTTCTGGGATCTAACTATGATTTGGTAAAACTCTTGATGCACACAGACACACACACAAACACACAGACACACAGCACACACACACACACACACACACACACACAAATTGAATGACTCCTCAGTGTCTGCTGAACCAAATTTTAGCATCATAGTTTCACATACAAGACCATTTATGATTTTACTCCATATTCCATTATAGTCTTAAGTGTCATGGCTTACCTTTATATCTATGTCACTGATTCTGGTTGAATTACCAGATGGTTTGTATAAGTTCCACGTACTTTAACAATTCTATTTTTGCTCTTCTTGTCTTATATATAATATATGTTTAAAAATCATAACCTTGTTCTTTAAAATCTATAAAAACCGAAGTCTTGCCAAATCTTGCCTTTCCTAACATTGAATGCATAGAAAAATCAGATGAAAATTTCAAGCTAAATGGCTCTCCAAAATTTCTTTCCCATAGACACTTTAGCAAAATACTAGCTCTAGAAGGATGTTCTCCTTGTGACACACATGTCCTTTGGAGATTCAATTATCTATTGGTCTCTTGGTCTGAGGGTTAATAAAACATGTTTAAAAAGAAAAGTATCTCCCTTAGGAAAAAAAATTGAATTTATATCTGTGAATGCGTCTTACTTTAGGCTCAGCAAGCTTTCTCAAAAAGGGCATGTCCTAGCCACAAGACTGACAATAGCAAAAGTGTTGTTTAATCACACAGCTTTGGACTTTTTCACAAAACATAACCAGTTTTTTTTTTCAGTTTAATCATTTTATTGATATGGCTGGTGACAATAGCAAGGGATCTCCCATAGATGGTGATTTGGGAAGCTGGATGAGGATGTAGACAGGATGTCACCAGAACTCAGACTTAGGCCTCCTCACTTGTCCTTGGTGTGGACCATCTCGTCAAGAAGGGACTTGGTGCCATCCCCCAAAAGGGGATGGAGCTGCTGGGTGCTCTCTATCACGGTCTCCAGGTGCTGGGGGCTATGCGTTTCTTGTGCTTGTCCTGAGCCTCCTTCCCAGCCTGGTCCAGGATGTTAGATGTCAGAAACTCTAGGATGTCAGCGAGGAAGATTAGTGTGGTGGAGGACAGCCGCTGCTCATAGCTGCCTTCTCTCAGGTATCGCTCCACTCGGCTCAGAAGAAACTGGAGTTCTGCCCGGCAAGAGCGGGAAACTGCCTTCTTCCTGGGCTTTGAAGCCTTCCTCCCGGTTTTCTCTCCAGCCATGGTGTTTGACAAAAACTGCCGCAGCTTGTACTGTCCTGTGGCAGGAGCTGCTGAAAGTAACAGTGATCACAGTCACTCTGTGCTTTTTATTGGTCAGGAGTTGGCTTGGTGACACTTAGGGCTTTGTGATGTCATGGGTGGCCATTGAGCTCTGGTGAGGCCTCTGTCTATGCAGGTCTATGATATGAACCTGGTTGCCCCAGTAACTGGATACAGTATTTAAGGGAACAGTAATGTTATAATAAACTTTAAAGCTCTAGAAAATCTCTGTTTTGATGAGAGCATTACCTGATGTTTAGTATAGCATTTAGGTCCTTTGGTCACAGCCTTGCATTGACTCTAAGTGCTTTACATTCGTTTGTAAATACTGAGCAACTGAAAGGCATGCTAAGTCATATGACCAGTAGATTTTCATTTGTCTCACTCAGCATAGTGTAATAAAATCATTTTTCTACCATTTATGCAATTACCTAAATATTCATGATAAGTAGTTTTTATATTGGTTTGTCAGATTAGTCTTCTAAATATTTATATCATCAGTAAAACTTTTCTTATGAATTAAATTGCTTTCTTCACTCCTTTTGTGAGCACTCTATCTTTGTTTTAGACTTTAAAATTCTAACAGAAATGTTATTAAAGTGGAAACTTTTCCTTGCATTATAGTGCACAGTTTGCAGTTATCTATTTGCTTCTTTTTTATTAATTTTATTGAGAAACAACAATGAGACAGTTTCAAAACCGATTAATAGGACAATTTCAATAATTAATACATTGCATATTGTTATCTTATTAGTGGTTATTCATAGTACAAGATGTAGACATGATATCCTGTCCAAAAACTATTAGTACAAATGTTTCTTCTCATTGAATTAAGAGAAAGTATCTGTATATCTGTCCTAATTATTTTGTATATAGATAAAAAATGGTCCTTCTTTTGTATCGCTTTTTTTTGTTTAGTTTTGTTAGGAATGGGTATTCCATTGCCCTTTAAATTTTCTAGGTGTGTGAATTCAACAAAATAATCCAATATATTCCAGCAGCCCATAATAGTAGTGGGTGTTTGCTTCACATGGAAATCTGCCAGAAGAAAAGATGCACAGCATGTAGATTGGAAAATGAAAATATCCTACAAAAATTTTATTTCTTGTTAACATTACTCATGTTATATTTTATGCTTAGCAAAAATATTGTATTCTGCAAATCAGGAATCTTTCCTATTCCTCTTGATGAAATTTAAATTGGTAATTTTAAAATGACTGTTCATTATAATTATATTAGTTTATTTTTTCATGAGGATTATGCACCTATCAATGAGTAAATTCCTGGAAAATATGGAGTCAATGGATTTTGATCCATTGTACCAATGGATGCAATCTTTGTTTTAATTATGTAGATGCTGATTTCACAGGTCAGGCCTAATTCTTCTTCTTTTCTTCTTCACATTGTGTACCTGCTTTTACTGTATTTGATGCCTTATATTATTTGCTGTTTTCCATGGTAAATACATGTCACACTGGATTTTAGTCTTTAACAGAACCTAGTAATGGGCACATAAACCAGAATTGGGGAGGAATCTTACAGTCTTAGACAGAAACAGAAAGAGATGTTTAGCTGTTGGGATTCAAAGAAAACAAAATACAAGAATATGAGATTAGGACAATGAGAAGACAGATTTGTACTAATAGTATTTAGAGAAGATATCATTTCTGCATCTTGTACTATGAATGACTACTAGGAAGACAACAATATGCAATGTATTAATTATTGTAACTGTCCTACTAACCTGTTTTGAAACTATCTCATTGCTATTTCTTTCACAATAAAATTAGTTTAAAAATGAATGCAATTTGCATAATGAAGATTAGGTCAAAAGTAATTACTAGGCAGGGAAGCAGTAACAACATAACTGTACAAGCCAGAAATCCACAGCCACAGTGATTAAAGCACTGGAAGTAAACTTTGGAACACTCATAACATAGCAGAACAGCAATTCACTTAAAATTTAGACCATTACTAACATTTACAATAGATAGTAATGACCAACTTACACACACTGAAAAGAGATGTCTTAACTGACAGCAAATTGTCACACCTAAAATAGACCTGAGATTGTTCTAAAGGTACATAAGTTCATTATGTTGCAAATTTACTTTTTTGAATTTCATATTTAATCTGGACCTAAATACACTTATTGATCAATGTATGGCAACAACTCAGGTACTTTCTTTCAGTTTTCAGAAAAAAAAAATGAACATAGTCAGGAACCAGTAACAGAAATTTCCCATTGTATCCTAAAATCAAGACTCCCCAATAGATCATAAGTTTTAGTCATCATTGTTCAGGAATAAAATAAAGTAGTTTATTAAGACATTTCTCTTTCAGAAAATAATTTTTCTTTACACATATCAACTTGCAGGAGTTTGTTATCTACCTCAGCTCCATCTTGGAGTATGAAATAAGGAAGGAAACTCAATATTTTGAATTTACATCAATTGCTAGGCACCATATCAGGCAATTTCAATGTATTATCTCATTCAATCTTCACAAAAATATTTCAAGCTCTGTATTATTACAAATTAAACATACTAATTCATAATTGCTTATAGTCTCTAAGTCTCATTACAACAGCCAATTTTACAAATCTTTTAAAAAACCTACAAGATCCAGATTAGCCTTTGCAAAATGAAATGATGCCTGAAAACATAACATTGTTGCATTCCTTTAATGTTCCCATAAAAGTTGTTAAGTGTAACAGAAGTTTGGGATAATTACCATAGTAAGCTATTTTCAATATTAATGTTAGAGAATTTCACAAATTCAGTTACTATCAGTAAATGTGTATAGTCTTTTCTTCTTTATATTTCACAGTCACTCAGAGTTTAAAATTTTAATCATTATATACTTTAGAGATTGTAACTTTGGAGTAATGTATATGTATGTTTGTTTGTATACACACCCATATGTTGTAGCAAACATCTATGCTTAGTATTCTCTTCCAAGAACAAACCAAAGATAATTTATTCACCCACACTTCTTTACCAAAACGCACATCCTAAACAAAGTGATCAGATGTGCAATCACAGAAAACTTCAAAACCACTTTGTATGCTACAAAGTGCTTGGTAATATGCAATCTCTTTGTATATTGCAAGATACATGATATATATTAACTAATAGTTATTATTAATTGCCTTTTTAAATAGTAAGAAAAATAAAATCATTGTTATAAATGAAACTGTAAGTAATTATATTAGGTATAAAATGTATAGATCATGAGGGCTAGTAGCTAAGATTTCTTAGATTTGTTTACCAGGTGACAGTCACTAGCTAGGCAACTTTGTCTCTCAAGTTACCTAATATGTAAGCTGCAGGTCAAATATTGTCACTTCATTGGGTAGCTTATTAGCACAAATTGATGCTGATAATACGGTTTTAAGTCTTGCAGTAAATGGAACTGTAGCAGCTATCCAGGTAATAGTTCCTGTTGCACTTCCTGTTACTTCAGTTTCTTAGAAGCAATCATTGTGATACATATATGGGTACTATGATGCATACTGTAATCACCAATCAAAGACAGACAGATACTCTGCTTGTTGCTTGCAACCACATAAAACATTCTTTCCTAAGTCTTCAAGGCCTGAAAGTTTTATCAGTATTGAATCCTTCTGATTACACATCTGACAATAAATGTGTCTGCTTCCAAATCCTGAGTGTCATTTTGGTGTTTCTGTTGCCATAACTTCTGGTGGTTTGCTTAGGATAACTGACCATGCTGACCTCTCTTGTTCTTGGCTATGGTTTTCATGAATGGAGAAAAGACAACTCCAAGTCCTTAGAGGAAGGTAAAATGTTGGGATTTCTTGAGTCCCCTGAGAGGTTTGGAGGAGGCTTCCTGGCTTCCCGTTTGAGTGGCTCACATTGGACCCAAAGGGGAGGAAGATGCGGGCTGCCTGTCAGCTTGGCTGAAAGGTTCTGGAAAGAACCCCAGGGAATCTTGATTAATCTGTCTTTCAGTCCTGCTTAATTTGAGCAGTAGGAGAGCTTCATCAACTCTCCACAGTCAGGACCACCCTAGAGAAAAGCGGGTTGAAATTTTTAACCTCTGAGTGACTGATGCATAAATTTATGATGAGTAAAATGAACAACATGAGCAATAAGCTACTCTGACTGTGAACTTACACAGGAAAGCACTGGTTGCAATTACAGATTGGGCCCTTACCCACAGTTTCTTGATGATAATTGTATGGTAGGAGAGTGAACTAAGTCATCCCTAAGTCCTCACAAGAGGCATGGCCAGACAGACATCTGAATGATCTCTCTTTCCCAGGGGCTCCCTCCCATCCTTTGTCTGTTGTGCAGTCATTCAAGGGTACACAGCACACACATAAAAATGTAAAATTAAAAAAAGCCCTATTTAGTCAACAGCCATGTTCTTGGGCTACAGAAAAAAATAAATAAAAGAAAGAGCTTTTCTTATTGTTTATGGAGTTAAAATAATACCAAAGAGCTATTTCCTGATCTGAAAAAGAAAGAGAGCTATTTTTTCTGAGAATTCTTCCTTGGTAAATAAGTCACTCTCTTCAGCCAACATAGTTGATGCCAATACCTATAGCTTTGTTCCCCATCCTTGAAGGTCTACTTTTAGTTAATTAAACCAGTCCCTATCAGCCTTTCTCTGCACCCAGCCACAGAGGTCCTCCCAATGGTGCCTTCTACTTCAAAGAATAATCTTACACGTCTATCCTGGTGAGATGGTATGATCTATTGCACACCCAACGTGACTGCTAGCAATTCCTTCTGCCTCTATTAAATACAACAATGTCCCCATTTTGACTAGGAAAAACAAGATTATAAATCCTGATAAATGGCCTGATGTAGCCTTTCCCAAAAGTACCCAATGTAGAAGCCAAAAAAGAAAATAACTCAGCCAATCACTGCTTAAAGGAGTGGACAAAAATACAAGTAATATGGTAAAAGTTACTACTGAGGGACTGGAGAGCT